AGAGAGAGAGAGAGAGAGAGAGAGAGAGAGAGAGAGAGAGAGAGAGAGAGAGAGAGAGAGAGAGAGAGAGAGAGAGAGAGAGAGAGAGGAAGTGCTACCATTGGCAGGCGGCTTTATATCTGGTCTGCCTGAATGTTTGATGGAGGCTGAAGGTAGACGAACCCCGACAGGTTCTTACTGCAAAGGCAACTCTCCTAAAGTGCAGTCGTAACATAGGGGAGCAATCTTTCTTCTAGCTGGCTGAATGGCTGATCAGCTTAGTGCCCTTGTAGTAAACACAGTGAACTGGAACACACTTATCTACTGTCCACATTTACTCGCAACTAGAGAATATTGTGTGTTCCAGTTCACTGTCGATACGATACTTTTGTGTGTGCAAAGGCCACAGCTTGGTATCGATGATCCCTCCTCTGCACGATGCTTGGCCACAGCTTGGTATCGCCACTAGAGAATAAAGTAGCGTATACTGTCCACAATATACGCTACTTTTGTGTGTGTGAAGGCCACAGCTTGCTATCGATCCCTCTGCACGCTAGCCTAGTTTTAGTGCCAAGCCAAGAACTGCCTACCTGGATCTCAAATATAGCATGAACTCAGAGCTTGCATTTTACAACCCCTGAAACTTCGAATACAACACACCCTCTTGGGTGATGATGGCTGCCGCAATGAAGTCGTGCATGGGCTGGTGCGTCCTTTTTTTTTTTTTTTTTTTTTTGAAAAGTACACCCACCAAGTTTGCTAGGGGTGATGGTGGTGCGTCCTAACCTTGAGGATTATTATTTTCACAAGCAGAATTTGATTTTTTTTGAACCGATGCGTTTATCATTATCTGTTCTTTGTGTCATTCAGCCGCCACCAGGCAGGTCAACCTCCTCAACCAGGTTGAAGACGTGTTTGGGAGCCCTGCACCCTGTGGAACTTAAACTAATTTTTTGCAATTTCTTAAGTTACTTAACTCAGTTATTTTTGCAATTTCTTAAGTTACTTAACTCAGTTAACTGATAGTCTTCGTTCCGTGCTTGGCTCGCTTCTTTCTTTCTTTGGCATTGTGGTTGATTGCTGTAGACTCACTTTGCATGAGATGACGGTGGCACTTATGGTCCTGCGTCTGTCCAAGAGTGCATGTGGAAGAGTGCATGTGGGGACACCAATGATGCACAGGATCTGAGCAAAAGGCCATCCTCGCAGGTGGTCCCGGCTACCCATCACAGCTCAGGTACCAATGTCTGGGATTGTGACAGATAGTGTGCCCGGGGTTCCTGAAGGTTGGCGCCGAAGAGTATGCAAGCGGGGGAACAGAAACCACGTGGACGTGTACTTTTATGGACCGGATGGTGTCGTCGTTCGGTCAAAGAAGCATTTGAAAGAATACCTTGAGAAGCACCAAAGCGGACTGAGCTTCGATGCTTTCGACTGGACTGGGCAGCATGGGCTTCCGGTTTCCCCCGAACGCTTCCTCCTGCAGGCATCTGCGCAAAAGAGGTCTGCTAGAAAGACCTCTGCGGACAAGGAAGAGCAACCTAGCGAAAAGAAGAGGAAGAGAGGGCGTCCGCGGAAAAGTGAGGTGGGAGTGGCAAGGGTTGTAGATGTAGAGGGTGGTCCATCCTCTGGCGTTGCTCAGAGAAAAGGTGAAACCTTGGGATCTATGGGCTATGCAGGTGGCAGTGAAGAAAGAGTACAGGTGGGTGCAGAAAACGGAGAGCTCGTGGACTTGCGAGAAGCGGAGCCAGAGCCAGAAACGGTTAAGGCGGAGGAGGAGGATGAGATGGAAAGTACAAACCTGAACACACTCAGTGTGCAGTTGCAGCAGCCTTTGGAGAATGGAAGGAAAGCCGGCTTGGCTGAGTCGATACCAGCGGAAGAAGCAGTGGAAGATCTGACTCCTGGCATTCTGCATGGTGGCAATGTGCCAAATGCACAACTTGAGAAACAACCAAAGAGGCCGAGAGGTAGACCAAGGAAGATTAAGGTGGCTAAGGAGGGTAAGGATGATGGTGGCAGCAGAAACACGGTAGTCCAGAAAGAGGGGGATGGGGTTGTAGAAAGGGCACAAAAAGGTGTAGAAAACCGAAATTGGGAGAACAGTGCGGTAACAAGGGGTGGCGTAGAAGGGACGACCCCGGCAGCGGAGGGGAACGAGGAGGAAGAAGAAACGTTGTTCAATGTAGGAAATGCTGCGAACGACGGTGGGCGTAGCGTTCCCGAGCCTATGCAGTCTATGGGGACAGCAAGATCCATCAGCAGTGGAGATGCATCTGAAATTTCTATAGCGCTGAACGAGAAAGTGTGCGATGACCAGTCGGCAGGACAGACCGGCAGGAATAAGAGACGGAAAGTGGATAGCAGGGCAAGGAAAAGAAGCAAGCAAGACGTGGACCAAGGTACTCCGAAGCAGAGTCAAATCAGTGACAATTCAAAAAGCGGCGATGATGAGAGATTGGCAGTGGTGGTGCTGATGCCAGGGGTCAAAGGGAATAATAAAGGGACAGAGGCGAGTGAGGGCGAAGCGGAAGGGTTCCGAATCCAGGACGTAATCAAACTTTGCCGTCGTTCTTCTGCAAAGATGCGGGGGACCACGAAAGAGGATTTTCCAAATGGGGGCGAGATGAGAGAGAAGGCGAAGGGGGAAATGGATGGGGAGGGGGAGGGGGATGGTGATGTGGCCCTGAACATTGCGCCATCTGAAGTCGATGGGAACCCGACGTCCAGCACGCAGGAGGAAGAGGACAAGCCTGCGAAGGGTCTTTGTCTGGCAGACGACGAAGGCCATCGGCGGACCCTCGCTGCCCTCCACCTGTCGTCAATGCCATCTGAGATTCTCTGTCGAGATCGCGAGAGAAGGGAGGTGCTGGAAATGTGCAAGCACGCTGTGCAGCAGCAGAAAGCAACGGCAATGTATATTTGTGGCTGCCCGGGCACAGGGAAGACTCTAACAATGGAGGAGCTGAAGAAGAATGTGCCGCAGTGGGCACTGCAGGCGGCTGTCGCTCCTCCGACTGTTGTTATGATGAACTGCATGTGTGCAGTGGAGCCAAAGCAGATCTTTCAGCGGATTTTGTCATGTTTATCGACAGGCAAGACGAACGTGTCGATCTCTGCTGTCTCCATTGCAGCACAAAATGCGCTTGCGGAATTGACAAGAATCGTTGCAACTCCCACAAAAGTCGATAGGAAGCAGGACGGGATGGCTCTCCTCATTCTCGATGAAATCGATCACCTTATGACAAAAGACCAATCTGTCCTTTACGAACTCTTCCGTCTCACGACCTTGCCAGAGTCCAGGTGCATTCTCGTGGGAATCGCCAACTCTATCGACATGACCCAACGGCTACTGCCGCACCTTCGAGCGTTCAGTTGCATCCCCTCAGTTGTCACTTTCCCTGCATACAACCAAAGCCAGATCTGTGCAATTCTCAATCAACGGCTCAAACAGCTTTCTTTTCAAGCTTTTCATCCTCTTGCAATTGAGCTGTGTGCCAGGAAAGTCGCAGCCGCATTTGGTGATATGCGGAAGGCGCTTGATGTGTGCAGGTTGGCAGTGGACGTGTTCCTGTCAGAGGTGAAGGCAACCAGAGGAACCACCGACTATGACCTGACAAATTCTGACGAGGAGGACGAGAGCCTACCGGTAGGCAGGACGAAAACAGCCGGCAAAACTGGCGCTGTGGACAGTGGATTGGCAAAGGAAGTGGTGGACAAGCCGCCCACTGTCGTGTTAATGAGGCACATGGTGAAAGCGCTCGCAAAGAGCTTTCACTTGCCTCTCGTGGAGACTCTGCAGGCCCTTCCACAACACCAACAGATGATTCTCTGCTCGGCTGTGCGTCTCTTCCGCGCGCGGAAAAAGGATGCAACACTCGGAGAACTCAACAAAGCTTACATAGAACAGTGTAAAAGTGCATCCATCAATGCACTGACATCAGCAGAGTTCACCTGCATGTGCACTGTTCTTGCTGATCAGGCTATCCTCAACATTGGGCCAGGGAGGGATGAGAGGCTCAGAAGGGTGACGCTCCGCGTTCAGGAGGAGGATGTCCGGTTCGCTCTTGAGGGGGTTCGTTTTTTCCGAACCATCCTGAGCGAGGATGATTCCAAAGAAGTTTTGTCAGACCGATAAAGCAACAAATACCTGGGTTGCAGGAGACTTGCTGCCAAGGGTTTCATCTGTCCCACGGCCTTCTCTCACCAAAGGTCCTCCTGCTTTCCTTAGTTTTCTTTTCTTTTTTTTTCCATTCTCTCCCTCTTTATTTTCCATTTCTGAGGAGGTGCAACTTTTTCAACGAAGCAGAGGCAGCTTCCACTCTTCAGACTTATACACCCCCCCCTCTCCCTTCCTCAGCTCTAGTTTGTCCAGGCATGTACGGTGTCGGATAGCTTTAGCAAGTCATCCTGCAGTTCCAAAGCACACGATGTGACCACCTTGGAAGAAAACCTGTATGCTATATGTAACACGTTTTCGCCCCCAACGTCATGTCATAGCCTGTATGATCTGCTGCACATTTTACTCAAAGAATAGTCCGTTTTGTGATCTTGAGTTGTGCAAGGTTCTGTTCTTGTGTGTGTGTGTGTGTGTGTGTGTGTGTGTGTGTGTGTGTGTGTGCACGTGGTTTATGTGTGTGCTTGTGTGTGTGTGTGTGTGTGTGTGTGTGTGTGTGTGTGAATGTTTGTGTCGGTGTGTCTGTGGTATACACGATTCCACAAAAAAAAGCATGTGCGTGTGTGTGTGTGTGTTGGCATGTTCGCTATACACGAAAAGCATGACTGTGCCAGACTGTTTCATCATACTTTGACCGACTCATCAGGAGGTTGAACCCCGATAGTCTGCCCAGGATTCATTTGACTGATGGATAAGGACTCACCACATCGCCCAGAGTTAGCGATACCCACCCCTGAGAGAGAAAAGTGGTAGACTGTATTCACACCAACCCTGCAATCCTAGCAGGCTGTTGTGCGTGTTTGTGTGTGTGTGTGTGACGGTGCTTATGTTGTTGTTACTGTTGTCACTCTCATCCATGGATCTTTCTTCTTCTCCCTCTTCCTCTTTCTTTTTCTTTTCTTTTCTTCTTCTTCTCCTTCTTCCATTCTTTCTTCTTCTTCTTCTTCTTCTTCTTCTTCTTCTTTTTTTTTTTTATTATTATTATTATTATTATTTTAAATGCGATGTTGTTGGGCATGTCAGAGGGAGAAAAAATAAGTTTTATCCTCCCTCTTTTCCATGTTTTTTTGTTTTGTTTGTTTTTACGTGATTTTGGTGATCAACCATCCTCTCCATAGTGAAGGAAAGTTTTCTCCTCCCTCTTTCCTGTGATCATTAAAAATTCGGGCCTCTGCTCACAGCTAAGATGTCGACGAGTTCCTGGGTTCATGTAGGTATGATACCCCCCCCCCCCCCCCCAAAGACTATTCACACACTGCCAGACCTACCAGGGTCGGGGTCACAGGCGATACTTACGTGTCAGCTAACGAGCGTTGCACAGTTTCCTTCGCTTTTTTTTTTTTTTTGAAAGGCCCTGGTGCAAGACCTCTATCCTGGTGGTGGTTCCTTCGCTTAACACAGAAAAAATTGAAACAAAAGTTGTTCAACTCTCCTATCCCCAAATCTGTTGGGTGGAGTGCAGAGGGGTACAAAGGAACCACCAGCTCAGAATTTGAAAGTAACGTCATGCCTGGTTTTGAGAGTAGGCGGTTTAGGTTTCGATCCAAGAGTCCATCCATTCTAATCACGATAGGGAACACAAGAAATTGTTTAGGCCAATGACCAGCGAGTTAAATTTTCGGGTAAAGCAACATGAGAGCCTTGGTCGGGTTGACCAAACCTGTCACCCTGTGACAATGACCCGCATCTTAAGGGTGGGACTTGGAGAAGAAACAAGTCTCGTCGTTGCAAAAAAAACTTGCAATACGTTAAGAATTTAGGATCTGCAAGAAGACCTATTGGATCTGTATATCCACGGAAGAGTTTGAGTTCTCTGAACGGATAAGACAGACCTCTGCGGATCCTGTAGGGACTGTGAGCGGGACCTCCAGTACACAAATTGAGGCTTCCAGTGCCACCCAACTAACCCTGGGCTGTTTTGGGGGCCGAACTCTTTGGGAATGAATCCACCAACCCTGTGTTTTGATGCCCTAAATATCGACCATATCGGATACGTGAGAAAATCTGTCCAAGGGTTGGACCCCACAGGACTGCAGAAAGGAAAAACTTTGCCGCGAAACTGTTTCCAGGACCCCACAGCCTGCAGCAGATGTCCAGGGAAAGGTGAAAGTTCTCCCGCAAACCGTTTTTGGGGACCCCACAGACCGAAGATTGCGGCATGGAAAAACGTAGTTTTATGGTTTCACATAGTCTGCAGCCTGGAAAAGCCTCATGGAGAATTCCTTGCCGCAATTTTGTGCCTACTCTGGAGGGTAGGGGGGAGGGCGTGTCGTTTCTGAAAAAGTCTCGGAAAGTCTCACGGGAGGCAGCAGCCAATAGCGACCAAGAGTGCCACCAAAAAAAAAAAAAGGAAAAACAAAGAGAAAAAGAACAAAACAAACGAGTCCCGGCGGAGACAGGCAACGATTGGGTCAACTGATTTCCAAAGGGGGTTTCCCAAGCGCATTTGGTCCTCCGGGGTGAGGTCCCCGCAAAACTGCTTTCCAGCTTTCCAAAAAAATTTGCCCCTTTTTTTTGCCCGGCTGTTTTTTCCATCCTTTTTCCTGTGGGGTCCACCCCCAATAAAGATTTGATCTCTTCCACATTTGACTCACATGCCTCCATTATAATAGTGAGGTCGTCTGCAAACATTGAGCTGACGGGGATTGCTTCCTTAGGGATACCACATAGTTGAAGTTTTTTAATACTTTTATTTATTCTCGGATTTGCCCTGAATGGCTCCATGATAATTACAAATAGAAAAGGGGTCAATGGATCCCCTTGCCTCACTGACCTCTGTAGCTGGATTTCGGGCGAAAGGAGACCACTGACTTGAATCCTGATCGTTTGTGTTGGAGTGCAGTACACATACCTATTTTTTAATTTATTATTATTATTTTTCTATACATACCTAATTTCTTATATTGGGTCCAATGTTCATCTTATGGAGGCAGGCATCTAAAAAGCGTGTGTTTTTTTTTTTTTTTTTTTTTTTTTTTTTTTTTTTTTTTTTTTTTTTTTTTTTTTTTTTTTTTTTTTTTTTTTTTTTTTTTCTTTTTTCTTTTTCAATTCTTTTTCTTTTTCTTACATAATTGGAATGAAAGTTGCGTTCTATTTTGCCTGGCACAAGAGTTTGACTGCTTCATTAATTAATAAAACATTATCTTGAATGTGTCTACCATTGATGAGCGCGGTCTGCAAGGAGTGTATTGTATTATATCAGCCTGAATGAGAATAATTCGGTTAGCCAATGTTTTTGCTAATAATTTATAGACTACTGTTAAAAATGTGATATGTTTATATTTCCTGTTATTTGACTTGTCTCCTGTCTTGTAAAGTAGAGTGAGAATGCCTTGGCCAACCATCTCCCCCATCATGCCTGACTCCTTAAACCACCAGTACTTCGTAGGGTCGTGCCCGTTAACGTGCCACGGTTTTAGGAAACATACGGGCTACTACAGGAGCTCCCAAATTCATCCGACTAGAAACGTTTCTACTCTATTTTTTTCCGCGGCCGATAGCTGGGCCAAGTACTGGTGAGTCTGGTGGTTTAATGAAATCAAAGAACTCCATAAGGTCAGATGAGAAGGTTGACCACATAGTCTCTCAAAATTCTTTCGGAAGGCCGTCAACTCCGGAGGTTTTATCTTATTCCACTGGTATCAAAGCTGTCCAGATTTCCTCTTTTTCCAAGGGTCTCTCTAGATGTTCCCGCTGGTCTTGGGAAAGCGACTGTGTCATAGGTCTCCAAAATTGTTCAATCGCATGATCGTCCTCTTGCTGGTATTCTGAATTTTTGGAAGAGGTGAAAAGGTTCTTGAAAAAACAATATGCTATCCTCAGGCTTCCTCCTGAAGAGGATGAAATAGAGGGGTCATTTGAGGAGGTCCAGGGGATTTGTTGCAGGAGGAACTTCAAGGCAATCCAGACGCGAACTGGGGTGGCACTGTCAAGACAACCTAAGGGGCTGGGTATCGTTGGTAGTGAGAGCTCGACAACCATGGCTGGTTTTGGCTAGGAAGAATCTGTCTCTGATGGGGTGGCGCTGTCAAGACAACCTAAGGGGCTGGGTATCGTTGGTAGTGAGAGCTCGACAACCATGGCTGGTTTTGGCTAGGATCAATCTGTCTCTGAAGAGTTGTGTCTGATATAGGGGAGGCTATCAGTTGCTCATGGATTGAGAGGCCAGGTTTTGCTGCTGTAGTTTATAGCCATCTTAACGTCGTCACCATTATCATCATCAGCTCATTATAACCAGTATAGCATTAGTGACGTCATCAGCGAAGTGGTACATGAGGGACAATGGGCCCAGTTCCCAGCATGTGCTGCTTTGCCAACTCAACATTGTATCTTAGGGGATGCTGGACCCGCTTTCCAACGTGTGTAGCTCCCTACCAATAGATTGGAGGCCCCTGCAAAATGGGTAGGAGTGCATGCTTTTATCATCACTCTTATTTGTTGACGCGGGAGGAATTTTCTTCAAAAAAAAAAAAAAGGCAATTCGAGGTGTGTAGGGGGATTGCCACTTCATCCTCAAGCAGGCTGCCAGAACTACTCATTTCTCTGCTAGCTAACCCCCTACCCCCCCCACCCCACTGTGAGGGGTAGAATAGCACTCATATATTGTCCGACTTCTTTTGACTATCTCCGTGTATCAAGCTTCACAGTGAGCATTCACCTTTAAACCGCCAGTGCCTTTCCCAGGCAAAAAAAAAATTGCCTGCCGCTTAACAGGGAGGCCGTCCTTGGGCACGCACGCAGACCAGATTCTTCCCAAATGCTTGGTGCGCAGGGCCCGCAGCCGACATATGGGAAAGGTACTGGCGGTGTAAGCCCCTAACCCCCTAATCCCCTAACCCCCTTTTCCTTTAAACCATTTCCCTTCAAGTTAGTATTGACTGACTGCATCTCGCGTGCTCAGCTTCCATGTCTCTGAATCCCCCTTCCCTTGAGCCTTTGCCCCTAGTGTTGACTAAACTGCTTCACACGTGTTCAGCCCTACTGTCTCCCGACCTCCGTTTCACCTATGCTTTGTGTCTTCATTCCATTCCATACCATCCCAACTCTACCCGGCATTGCGAGGAGGGGGGTAGGGGGTCTGGGAAATCTGCAGGCGGCCTCATAAGGATGGAAGCATACAACTTGGTCCACTCATGAAAAGGAGATGGTAATCCCTGGCTATCCCCCATTACCTTTGGGTCTCCCCTTGTCCCCCTTTCCACTCCACTTTTCCTATCCTTACCCCCTGAGCCTATCGAAGCTAGCTTGTACTGAATTGTTGGCGGATCTGGCGTTCTTACGCGTGGAAATGGAGGTGGTCAAGTTGAGCTTTC